CATGTAGGCCTACATGTGACTCATCAAACCCATCATCTCCTGGTTCACCCGCCTACTCATCGTCGCCCCAAAACATCAAGCAAAGGCGGTCTAAGCACAAACCTCGACCTAGAGTGCTAAGATTTCTCAATGTGAACTGCCAGAGTATACGTGCTAAGATGCAACCATTTTCCATCTTGGTTCATCAACACAACCCTGACATAGTCATTGGTACAGAGTCCTGGTTGTCTGATGGCATCAACAGCAATGAAGTATTCCTTGATGAGCAATACAGCATCCTACGTAGGGACCGTTCAAATGACCCACATGGAGGGGTGTTTATTGCCACCAAGACTGATTTGATCGTTACAAGAGAGGAAGAACTGGAGACTGACTGTGAGATACTGTGGTGTCGTATTGAAATGGCAGGGAGCAAAACACTTCATGTTGCAGCTTACTATCGACCAAAAGAAGATGATGAAGTCAGCCTCGCTGAGCTGCAACGGTCTCTTTCCAGGTTAGATAGAAGACACCTGGTTGTACTCGCAGGAGATTTCAACCTACCTGGATGGAAGTGGGATGGCCCTTATGTTGGTCCCTGTGCTTACCCTGCCCTTCATCATCAGTTTGGGGAAATTATAAACGATCACGGTCTTACCCAACTTGTCAAAGAGCCTACTCGACAAGCGAACACTCTTGACTTGATACTTATCAGCAATCCAACCTTGGTCAACTCTGTGAAGGTAGTGCCTGGTATCTCGGACCACAACTGTCCAGTTGCTGATATAGACATGTCACCCCCACGAAGATACCAGCCAAAGAGGAAAGTTCCTATGTACAAGAAAGCAGACTGGGAGGGCTTCGCAGAACTCATGCAACATGTGGCAGACTACATATGTAGCAAGTCATCCAGTGCATCAGTCCATGACCTGTGGCAACTCTTCAAGAGTGGAATTGAAGGGGGTATTCAATCATTCGTCCCCCACAAGATGCTCAAACAGAAACAAGACTTGCCGTGGATTACTAGCGGTATCCGTAAACTCATCTATAAGAGAGATAGGTTACACAAGCAAGTGACCAGGCTCAGGAAACAGAACATGCTGGTCCCTTTCCCGCTTGAGACAGAATTGCAGCATTTGAAACGCCTCATCCAAGCAGAATCAAGAAAGGCATATTGGAGCCATCTTGAGTCAATCTTCACTGCTGATGGACCCAATGAGTACGAGGGAATGAAGAGGTTCTGGAAGTTTGTGAAGAACAATCGTACTGACCGCTGTGGGATACATACTCTGAAAACTGATGAGCATACTATCACTAGCCCCCAGGACAAGGCTGAAGCACTGAACAAACAATTCAAGATGGCTTTCACCAATGAAACTGATGTTCCCGCTGATCTCCTTCCTGAAACATCTCCGTATGACTCCATGCCAGACATCCACATCTCAACCGAAGGCATTGTTAAGATGTTAAAGAAGTTGAAAGTCCGGAAAGCCCCGGGACCAGATGGAATACCAGCATTGGTACTCCGCAAGCTTTCAAGAGTGGTAGCTCCATCTCTGCGTGCCATCTTTGATGTCTCATACAGGACCAGTGAAGTTCCAGATGATTGGCGCCTTGCGAACGTGGTCCCCATCTACAAGAAGGGAGTTAAAACAGATCCTGAGAATTACCGCCCAATCTCTCTCACAAGTATCATCTGCAAAATGATGGAGCACATATTTGCAAGTAACATCATGGGTCATGCGCGCAGAAACAGTATCCTCTGCCCACTTCAACATGGTTTCCAAGCTAAGAAGTCGTGTGAACTCCAACTGACTGGCTTTGTCACCGACCTCTTGAACAACATGGAGGACAACAATCAGACGGACATAGTAATCACAGACTTCAGTAAAGCCTTCGACAAGGTTGGTCACCAGAGGCTTCTGAAGAAGATGGAATACTATGGTGTGAGAGGCCACAACATTGACTGGATATCCAGTTTTCTCTCCAACCGTAAGCAGCAAGTTGTTCTAGATGGTCATACGTCATCAACGGTAGAGGTCCAGTCAGGTGTGCCTCAAGGGTCAGTACTCGGACCCTGCCTCTTCCTTTTCTACATAAATGACCTGCCAAACCAACTTTCAACGAAAGTCAGACTCTTCGCCGATGACACGGTTCTGTACCATACCATCCAGACACCTGAGGATGCAGACTTGCTACAGCAGGATCTTGATCAACTTTGTAGGTGGTCAAGCAAGTGGATGATGGCACTAAATCCAAAGAAATGCCAGGTCATAACTGTCTCCAGGAAGAAGACCAAGTATGTCCATCGTTATTCACTCAACGGAGAAATCTTGGAGTCTGTGTCAGCTGCCAAATACCTTGGCATTACTCTCACTGCTGACCTCAACTGGACACAGCATGTATCTGCCACTTGCAAGAAGGCAAACAACACCCTAGCCTTTCTTAGAAGGAACCTGCGTGTCAACTCCACTCGGCTTAAGACTACTGCATACCAGGCTCTCGTTCGCCCTCTTCTTGAGTACGGGAGTGCTGTTTGGGATCCACACACCATCAGATGTGTAAACCAGTTGGAGATGGTCCAGAGACGAGCAGCGAGATATGTTCTCAACCGCTATCATCATACATCTAGCGTCTCTGATATGCTGAGTCAACTTGGATGGACCTCCCTCCAGAAGAGAAGAGAGCATCAACGTCTCACTTTACTGTACAAGATGCACTACTCTTTGGTTGACTTTGACATCCACCACTACATCCAACCGGCAACAGTCGTAAGAACTACAAGATCGTCTCGTCCTTACTGTTATCGTGTCATGCAGTCACGAACAGAGCAACATATTCACTCCTTCTTTCCTCGCACTGTTCGACAGTGGAACGCTCTCCCTCTTGAGGTTGTCCTGGCTCCATCAGTGGAAGCCTTCCAGCGACAACTAAAGACCGGGGGGAAGTAAATTCCGGCAATGTTTTTTTTTACTGGCACTATGTATATATACACCTCTCACCGGCACACCTGGACATCCCCATGTCGCAACACACATGCACTCGCACACATCTGCAAGAATCTTCAGCAGTGAAGGAGGCAGATTATTTTGAAGAAGAAGAAGAAGAAGAGACGGAAAATTCGGTCTAGCATTTAATGTGTACATACCAGCATGCATGACTAGTGCAAAAGTTGTGTACTTAGTCTTAGATATACAGTATGTTTGATAGACCTACATGTAGGTAACTACAGTGTAGCTTTTCATCATCAATCACATGTACTTGTAAATCTAAAATAATCGACCCTAATAAATAAAAGCAGATTAGCAGTAAATACCAATATTTATACATGTAGCATTACAACAATGAAGTACAGAAAGAGAAAGATCAAAGAAAGAAACTAGGAGTAGGAGAGAAAGAGAGAGACAGAGAACAAAACAAAAGGGGGAAAAGAGAGAGAACTAAACAAAAGAGAGAACTAAACAAAAGAGGGAAAGAAAGAAAGAATATACATAGTCTAGATCTAAGAAAGATTGAAGAAGACAAAGTAGAAAACAAACGGTAGACAACATAATACTTGATACTTAGAAACACTAACAACAACACAGACTGATACTGATACTTGGTTGATGGTGTTAGTGATGTGATGCATGATTTTATGAAGTACTAAGTTGAAGACAAAGTTGGACAAACCTCTGCAACCTAAGGAGGAGAAGAAGAATAAGAGTACCGGTAAGATGAAGAGAAAATAAAGAAGATGAAGAGAAGAAGAAAAGAGAATAGGAAATCCTAATGAGAAAAGGAGTATGCAGGTACAATATGTGAAAGAATTTAGTAGAGGAAGAAATTCAAATTCAAATAGATGATGAGGATGGACATTGGACAACATGAGAAGAAATGAAGAATGTCTTGATAAGAGACTGAAGTCTTCTTAAAGGTATTACAAAGTTTTGGTATGGGGTCATGAATTTGGCTCAAATTAACATATTGGAAGCATATGCGTTCCTACAATATTCATTGATCGTTGTCCCGGTTGAATTCGAGTCTAAAGTTATGAAATTATAAATAATAAACTCTTTATGTTGTATAGCTCCCTCTCAAGGTCAAGATATTAATTTAGCTATGAAACAACGTTTCTTGACTAAAATCGACCGATTAGCTATTCCCGTTTGGAAATTATATATCACAACTACATATTCTGAGATTTTCATGGTCGCAGCGACCATTGTACGGCCGTAGGCGCTATTTGAAATTTATCAAAATTTACCGGGAGCACCGGTAAATTTTTATTTTCAATTTTTCTCGAAAACAGAAGTGTTTTAGGAGTTAATTTTTTTAGTGCTTATAATACATCCACAGGGGCATCCAAATATATCAAAATTGTAAAGATTCCCTATCCACCCAATTTTCGAAATTTCCCAATACTTTGTATTACCTTTAACACCGGCTCAAGGACAAAGTTGGGAAGCAGGAGAAGAAGAGGAGAATCATAAATCTTTTTTCTCTCTAAAATATAGGCCTAGGATGGGAAAATTTCCCCAGAGTGAAAGACAAGTTCGAAATTACCAGACAGGTAGACAATGAAAAAAACAAAAAAACATGGCTATTCCACTGACTTGTCAGTGAAATTCTTTATTGTGGAATTAATCAGAAGATTTCCGAACTTTTTATTTTGTCATTCGCTAAAATAGTTTTACTTGGCATTTAATATATATTTGAGAATCGACTTCAATTCTTCAATCTCATAACTAGGGGTGTATGCCACATATAATTAGAATGACACTATTTATAAAAAGTCATGATTTTGCCTTTATATTGACTTTATTCAAATGTATAAAAGTGATTTTTGAAAAATGAATTGTATAATTCTTCCTATTAATACCCATGTTTGACTAGAGGTCCTAGACGGCCTAATAGTATCAAACAAGTCAGGACTACAAGGTGCATCAAGAAAAAGAACAGATTTACTTGCTATTAGTATTATAGTTAATATAACATAACATTTACATGGAATTCAAAATTATTCAATCTTGCTTGTACAGATTGCTGCATTCATCACCCTGGAGCTCCTGTTTTCCATGATGCGTTGAAGGGTTGGACATGTTGCAAGAAGAGAACTACCGATTTCACTGAATTCCTCAATATACCGGTATGTCAATAATGTTTTTAACTGTGGGCATTGCACTCATAGTAATTAATTAGCATTCACCAGTTCAAATTAGCATTCACCAGTTCAAATAAGTATTCAACTTCAAGTTGGATATGAGGATATTGTGATAGTATTGCTTTTCTGTGTTTTTATCAGTCTTTGTGATTGCTGTGACTATAAGAGCTAGAAGGACACTTCAATCCTCTGTGTGAGTGAAAGCCCTTCTCTCTCTCTCTCACCAAACAAGATGCAATATTAACCTTTTATTTGTTCCTTTCAAAGAAAATTGTATTTTGTGTATCTTTAAGATTTTCATAGATTTTATCTATGGAATGACATTCTCTCTATCCAAGCTACATTTGAATTATTCATTTTCATAAAAGAAGGTGTATAATGCCCTTGGCACGGGAGGGAGCAGCCATCTTCTTCTGCTTCATTTGCCGGCGTCTGACTTGGTCTTTTTATTAAATGTGAGAAGACACAGTACAAAAAATAAATGGACAATGAACAGTGCAAGTATTTCATTAAGATACATGTGCATGCACTATTCGCCTTCATAAGCTAACTAACTCTTGGTAATAACACAATGTGCATCTGGTATTCTCATGATCAGTTGAAGGCATTCCTTCTTGTTTGTGCTGTTGAGTCATTTCCCTTGTTTCTTTTTTTATACAGGGGTGTGGAAGGTCTAAACACAATCCAGTGAAACCTGTGGAAGAACCTAAACCACAATCAACAAACACAGATGATATTGTGCCTGAGGTAAGATTTAGAGGCATGTCATATTCCTCTCAGGGGATGGAGTGGGTAGTGGGTACAATTTTTCTTAAGATAAGAATGTCATTTTCACTGCCATTTTGAAATGAACATTTGTATGTATGACCTACATAAAATAACAACTTCCTTCTATGGGTTGGCATTCTGGTTAATGATTCAGTAAACAATTCAATTCACATCATTTTTAAGTGTATTTAAAATTCACATGTTTTAGTAGACAGGAAAGAGTAAACAGAAAGTGAGAAAATGTTTGAATTTGAAAGCGAAGAATATTGAAATAACACGATTGTGTTTATCAAACCTTTTTATTGTCATCGAAAGCACATTTGAAGTGCATTAATCAACACAAGTTTATCACTTTACTTTCTGAATGCAAGAAGTGAATAATATCCCCCTTTATGTGCTGTTCAGTAGTTCATCACACCATATTTTTTGAAGAATAATATGTATCTTAATCATCAGTCTTTACTCTTAATCTTGTTTTGTTTATTCAATATATGTTTGATGGTGTGAAAGTCATCAGGATTTCCAATTGTGATTGTTTTTCAATAAGAGTACTTTTGTTTGTTTTCTTGATTATAGAAAGCAGTAGTACCTCCACCTCGCCAGCCAATTCAAAATGCTGATCCTGAAGAAAGACCAAGGTATTTCAAATGTTATCAACCTTTTCATATGAATACAGATAAAGATTCTAATAGGGAGTCGCAAGAAAGTTGCGATTGATTGCAAGTTGCAAAATTTGCAACTGACATTTGCACTCGATTGCAACTCAACTTTCTTGCAACGCTCCACTAGTCTCCTAAATTTCCTAGGATTTTGTTAGGGTTTAAGTTTTAACAATTAAATTGATTTTACTAGATCTAGCTTTTATTCTCCTCTATCCCTCTCTTTCTCTTACTAATGGGGCATTGCAAGAAAATTGAGTTGCGATCAATAGCAATTATTGCAAATTCGCAATTAATCGCAAGACTTGCGCTTGATTTGGGGGATTGGTAATCGATTGCAACTTCCTTGCAACACCCCATAAGATTTAAACAACACATCTTGTTTTCTAAAGATGAAGTTGCCTGTCAAAATTGTTTTTATCTTTTAAATGTTATGTGTGTTTTGTTATTTTCATTTTGAAATGTGTTTAGTGCTTTTCCTTTCCACATTCTACTAATGTCCTTTGGGGAGACATTTATCCACATTTCCCACTCTCCACCCAGGTGAAGGAGAGGTTCTTGTTAGGAAGAAATTCCTGGAATGTTTATGCCTCATATGGTAGAAATTCTAAAGCTGCGTAATAATATGATTGAGAGAACATTGTTTAAATACTGATAAGCTACGCTTGGTAAATAAAACATATTAACTATTTTAGGGTCACAACATCAGGATATAAAGAGTATTTTGTTCACCATTATACATTAATGTCTGTGCTTTTTCAGCAGATTTTTTTTTTCAAATAGTGAAGTGAGATGAGAATACATCATTATTATGGAAAAGCCCACATCTTCGCTATCAATAATAAATATTAAGAAACTTACTGCTTGCCTGATATGCAAAAATATCATGCGACAGCATTTTTACAGTAAATGACAACTATATAAATACATGTAATGAGAAAAACAATCTCACATCTTCAAACTGCAAAAAAGATGTTTTTCAAGGTTTTTCTGAAGGTAATATACATATATACAATGACACTCGAGGATCTAGCTGAAACTATTCGCATCAAAGGATCCTCAACCTGTACTATTCTCACGAGGGCCATCGGCCCGAGGGAGAAATGTACCAACAATGTTCCTGAGGCATTTGAAATCCTGTACGCTCGCTGGGTAAACGCATAGTTCTCTTTTTCCCTAGGGAAAAAGGGAACTATGCGTGACGTCACCAATAAACAATGAACTATTCCGATGTAGTCGGCAGAAAACGTCTTTTATAGTAAAACTATTCTTTTTCTTTTCCTAATGAAACAATCTTACAATAAGAGATATAATAACTGATATTTTGAAGCAGATACAGTAAATGTTTTATCACCTGCTTATGTGCCAGTAACTGAATATGTGAGACGGAGAGGATCAGTGGCTGATCGCAAAGCCAGCATGATAAGTAATTAAGTAATGATAAAATAACACCTGATATTCATTATGCATATTTCATATATGACCTTTTATTTCTTTGTTCTTATCTTTTCATACAGCTTAGATGAACCAATGATTAAGCTACCTCTATGCGTCGATCCATCATTAAAAGCTGCTCTGGAACGAATGTCATTAAATGCACAAACACAGCAAGGTTGGTGTTCTGTGAAGCAATGTGCATCATATGTAGTAAATATGTAATAGCTGATCTGTCTGATGGTGCTTAATCTAAGATGAGCCAACTGAGAAGTTGAGAACCGTTCATTGATATCTATAGTAGTCAATCTTTGTCAGAGCTGAAATATGGTGGTCAGGGCTCAAATTAATTTTTTGCCCACGGGGGCTCTTCCAAAAAAAAAAAGAGCCCCCGTGAGCCTTCTCACGGGGGCGCTTTTAGTGCTGACGGTGGCTCTTATTTTAATACAAATTTCCATTGAATTGGTACCCGGGAAACTCCTTGGTTTATCATTATCATTTATCTAAGTCGGTATTTTTCCTCTTAGAAATTTACTTGTTACATAGCTGTTATTGACTTTTATCCCCGTGAGGACATTTTCTCCATTTCTTCCCGTTCTGCACATAATTTCCTCCTCATTATTCGGAGCAACCTTATTTACATTCTTTCTTTACTTTTAGTCTTTACCATATCCTTCCAAAACACAGGGGCGGATCAAGCTTTTTGCTAAGGGAGGAGGGGTACCCCAAATACGATGTGGAGCATCGTCCCCGAGCCGCATAGCGGCGAGGCGATTTTTGTTGTTGCTATTTTGAACCCCCGTAAGTGGTGTTTTCCTGGCATCTACTAACATGCGGATCATCGTCCACGAGCCGCAAAGCGGCGAGGCGATTTTTTGGTGCTTTTTTGAACCCCCGTTAGTGATGTTTTCCTGGCATCTACTGACATCTTCTAATACTGTTTAGGTCTGGACACATGATAGCATTTTTCTGTGCACATCACATTTTTCCTTGGCAGCCCAAGGGGGAGGGGGGGGGGGGGGGGTTAAACCCCCTAAACATATAGATCCGCCCCTGCAACATCTTATGCGTTCTTCTTCTTCTCAATATTGATTTACTGGTCGGGTTACATTATTTGCTGGTCTTTAAGAATCACCAGGTTTCAGAGGATTCAAACTTTCACAACGAAAAAAATTCTCCATGTTTCAGTCCTTCCGCGATTGTCGATCTCCAGCTCCAGCAGATATTGGGCGTCAGCGTGCACACCGGTACTACCAGCGCAGTATAGCCACTGTGCTGACGGCCGCACCGCGAGCTTCCGTTGTTTGTATCGGGAATACTCGTAGAGATGGTAGAGAAAGCGCCATCTAAGTTCCATTGCATTGGTTTAAGGTTTGAAAATGAATACTCAATATTGTGTTAAAGTTTTATCAGAAAAGATAAACTTAATTTTATAATTCCACGGGGACGATTTTTAATTTTGCAATCGCCCCCGTGAGCAACCTGACGGGGGCGATTATGGAGCTCACGGGGGCGAATCGCCCACCGCCCCCGTGTATTTTGAGCGCTGATGGTGGTCCATCATTTGCTATGGTGACATTTTCCTTCAGGCTTATTTCATCAAATGTACGGTTCAGAGTTAATAAATGACTTGGGGTAGAAGTGAGAAATTGCAGGATTTAGATAGAAATTGATGTTGAACAGTTTGTCGTACAAGCCCTTGATCATGTGAAAGTTTAAGGGTATTACAAAATATTTTGGGATGAAGGGAGGGAGTGAGAGGTGGCGGGGGGGGGGGGGGGGAGGTTAGGATTAGGGAGGAAAAGACAATGAAGAAAGGGAGGGAGTGGAGTTAAGATTCATGATGAGCCAGTCACTCATAGTGAAGCATTAATTTATTTACACTTTAGCCTAGTGTAGTATAGTTTTAAAACAGAAAATACTCATCAGGGTCATTACATCTTTTTTACAATCTTCCCATCTCTGATATCAGTTACTATTTTCATCTCCTTTGCATGATTTTTAAACCTGTAATATTTCACAATGTTGTTCTATTTACTCCTTCAGGTACGACTGAGGGTGATGAAGATATTAAGAAAGGAACAATATGCAAGAACAAGGGCTGTCGGATGGTAAGTGCTCATGGGCAAAAATTGGAAGAAAGGTCTGTAAAGGATGTGAAAATATTGTATAAATGCAGTCATGAACACCCAAATTATATGTTGTGCATTTTCTCATCACTTGTTGAAATTTACATATAGCTTCTTTTGTTTAGCTCACAACAACAAAATGAAGAGTGTTCATACATGCAACATTATCAACTTTTTCTGATCGATTCTACACCATTTCTTTCACAATGCAATCGCATGACCAGAGGACGTTTTACAAAACTTGTCATCAGTGACAAATGACAGTTTTTGATATAAGCTACTAAAATCCTTGCTTTCGATTGGTTATCAGCAGATTTGTCACTGGTTTTTGTCATTTGTCATTGAAAAAAGGCTTAGTGAAACGCCCCCCTGAACTCAACTTTATCATTTATTACTCTTCTCTTACCACCTGTTTGTTTGATGACAGCCTTATGAAGGTGAGATGAGTTTGACAGAGCGATGCAAGCATCATCCTGGGGCTGCTATATTCCATGAAGGGTAAGCACTCCGGCCATTATTCTGTTCTCGTCTAACGATTTTTGAGGTAGATTGGCTTGGCTTCTAGGAGAGCAGTCACCAAAAGGGTTGAATACTTTTGTTTATGATTTTCTAAAACTTCAGGTATACAAGGCTATTCAAAAAAAAATGTCATAACATTTATGATAACATTTCAATTTATTTAGAAACTAATAACTGTCCATAAATGTAAGAAGTTATTGCAAATTATGTACTGTATTTTCTTTAAAAAATACACATTTGTTACGATACCAAATAATTTGTGTTTATATGTATATATCTATTTTCTTCTGTTACATCATTGGCCCGTATTCTGAAGTCGTGTCTAACTCCTGTTTAACTAAACAGTTGTCTAAGTCTTGTCTAAGTCCCGTCTAACTTTAAACATGAAGTCGTGTCTAACTTTTTTGGTATTCTGAAGTCGTGTTTAAATAAAGTTAAACACGAAGTCCTGTCTAAGTCCTGTTTAACTTTAGACAACTACGAGGGGTTGTTTAAGTCCTGTTTAAGGGCGCGATTCTGCTGCTTTTCAACGTCGACGGTACACTGTACTTGCTGACCCCGAACTTGCGGGGGACAACGATGGTACGTGCATTCTCCAAAATTTCAAATACGTTTTGCAGGATTTTTTCTCGTGTAGCCTAATTTTTTTTCTCGATAATATTAACTATTCTTATCTACTGGTGACATCTTGGAAATTCCATAATCTATAATAAACTAACCATTCTGTTGGAGAAGTTTCTTTTGTGGTTCTTCCGAGCACTGAGGCACCGATAAGTAGTGTGTTTGTCAATCTCAGTGTACAGTACGTGTACTACGTACGTACGTGCACAAAGTACATGCAGTCTGGTCATTACGTCACGATCACATCACCATGGTACCAGCACGCGCACAGCTAGCTGTGCGCGTTAATTTATTTATCCGGTGCGCGCACGCATGCGCATTGGGTCTTTCGTCAGAATTAACGCCTACTGGGCATGCCCAGAAGTCGTGACTAAGAGTTAAACACGACTTGCGCAGAACTTAAACAGTTGTTTAGTTAAACACCACTTAGACAGGACTTAAACAGTTGTTTAGTTAGACGAGACTTAGACACGACTTCAGAATACGAAATTTAGTTAAACAGGACTTAGACACGACCTCGCGTCTAAGTCCTGTCTAAGTCGTGTCTAACTAAACAGTTGATTAACTTTAGACGTGGCTAAGTTAGACACGACTTCAGAATATGGGCCATTTTGTTTAGTTGCTGTTATGCATTTCCAGGGAAAAAAATTAATATTTTTTTTTTGGCTACTTTTCAAGCTTGCCTGCATGAAAATAGCACTCTAAAATTTGTTTTGCTCTTTTCTGATTTTCGGGGGCTCTTTTGGGCATTTCGGGGGCAAATACGCCCCGAGCCCCCATGTATTTTTTTTCACTGATAGCCGCTAACCATTCCTATTTTGGGGGCCTTTAAAGCAATGTTATGAAAACTTCTGTGGTAAAGGTATACAAAATGGACAGATTTGATTATCATTTACCAACTTTATTATTTTCTATTCTTTCACTTTCCACTTTATCACCTTTCTTAATTTGTTCTGCCCCTGTTCCCTTGCTACTGTCTTCGGCTTAGAGACTTTGGTGGAAAGCGCTTTTAAGCACTGTTTTATTATCATCTATTTTCCTTTCCAACTCTCTAACACTGTCCCTCTTTCTTTTCATCACAGAATGAAGTACTGGTCGTGTTGCAATAGGAAGACGTCTGACTTCAATAACTTTCTAAATCAGGAAGGCTGTACCACAGGCAGCCATGTTTTTAAGAGCACAGAGAGCGAGGAGAAGCAGCTGGTTGCATGCAGGTAAGGGACAGAGGGACCTTCCCTCACCTACTACCCAAACACCCTCTTCCTCCAGACAACAATTTCTGTAGGACAGCTTACCCTTAAAGGGATCGTTTAACAATGTTAAATCTGAGATGCATGGCCCTACGTGTTATCAGTGTCTGTGATATGATGTAATATTGAAGCTCTAAAAAAAATTGCGCTTCAAAATGATTATGAAGTGCCTCAAAAAAGTGAAAATCTTTGAGTGACCGGTTTTACCATACTCATTTTCCCCAATAGACTGTAGTGTTATAACAAAAATGTTAGGAAAAAGAAAAATGAAAAATTTGATTTCCAATCATAAATATCTTGATAATCAGACAGGTGATCGGCTTGTCAAAGTAATGGGATTCCTGACTGATCTAAAGGTTTATAATCATCATTGCAGCATGAGCTAAATCCAGGATTTCTTTTTAGAATCTGAGACAAAGTTACCCAATCCCTTTAAACAAAATTCTTCATCAACAATTACCCATCCCCCAGTATACCCTGCCCATTCAATTTTGTCCTTATTGATATGACAACATAAAAAGGAGTAGTTGTATAGAGGATGGATGTCCAGCGTGTCCTAGGGGGCTGTTTCTATGAGGGTGTAGTCAAGTGGAATAGAGTTATAGAGATGAAGCTGTATGGAGGATTGGAGTGGGATAGGGTGCCAGTTATTCTGGAATGATTGTTGTGGGAGAGCTTTTTTCTGGTACAATACGAATAAATAAAAGTGTTATATTCAAATATCTATGCACACTCTTACAGTATATCTTATCTGCTGAATCTTTCTGTAATGTCTGTTTCTATTTTGTACAATAAGTATGGTACTCCAAAAGGAATAAAGAATGAAAGACATGACTTGTGGATTGATTTGCAATGTGACCATTGTTGGGATGATATTTTGGCTACCGTAATATTGTCTTCATCATAAAAACATGTATTCTTTTGCAGGCATGACTGGCATCAAACTGGTAAAATGGCGGTCTTATCTGTGTATTGTAAGAAGTCTGAGCCTAGTGCTACAGTGGTCCAAGCTAACCAGGTCTCTCTAGATATACAGATATCATTCAACCAACAGAAGAGTGAATTCAGGAAAACAATCAAACTAGAAGGGGTAAGGATCAACAGAGAGAGAGAGAGGGGGAGAGAGAGAAGGGAGAAGGGAGAAGGGGGATGAAGAAGGGAGAGAGAGAGAGAGAGAGAAGGGAGAAGGAGGATGAAGAAGGGAGAGAGAGAGAGAGAGAGAGAGAGAGAAGGGAGAAGGGAGAAGGGGGATGAAGAAGGGAGAGAGAGAGAGAGAGAGAGAGAGAGAGAAGGGAGAAGGGGGATGAAGAAGGGAGAGAGAGAGAGAGAGAGAGAGGGGGAGGGAGAGGGGGGGGGGGGAGAATAAAATGAACATAAGAGGTAGACGGAGTGGCAAGGAAATACTATGGAGAGTGATAATGAATTTCAGATGAAAATATGAAAGTTGGATTTAAGGACAGCAATGATTTTAAAAACCTATCAATTACTGAAGGAAAGAAATTGAAAACGTTACCAGTTTGGAGTCATTTTTTTTTTTTAAAGCTCTTGCTAGTGATTCTATCGTTTGTAATTGTAGATTACTTCATCAATTGTAGTTACTGGTACTTGTAATTGCTGTGTTTTACATGAAATCCATACAGTGCTAAAATGTATAATTACAAGATGGGAATGAAAATGATTATTTAGAAATGACTTGGATAAGAATATAGGATCCGATTGCTTATGTTTCAAACCACAAAAAGTATTAACTTCTTGGATGCAAACTTGCAAAGTATTTGATAAACCATATTTCCTTATTTCATGTGAAATCAAAATTTGATTACATGTACAGTATATCTTCATCGTCAATGTCATGTATGTGAAGTTTCATAGAATTTATTTATTTATTTTTATTTACTTATTAGTCTGTTTTTAATAGGATGGCTCCATCAGCAGCAGTTAAATACTGGTTTTCCGTCGAGGCCCTACAACACAAACACAAAATTTACAAACATATTGATGTAAACAATACAAATCGAGACTAAATAAATTGTGCTTGGATGTGTAGGAGAACTGTAATATAATGATGTGTATCTTGATTGTATCGTATAGGTGATTGACCCAGGCTCGAGTGTTGTGAACATGCTCGGCAGCAAGGTAGAGATCAAGCTCATTAAAGCAGAGTCCATGTCATGGAAGAAGTTTGAACTGGAATAACGAGAGAACAACGGCTACATAGGACTATACCTCGAGACGTCATTCACACTCGCACACAACCTGGGCGTCCTCTCAGGAAACCGTCATATGTACAAGTTTACCAACATCCTAGTGAAACGCGTATTAGTTTAATACACAGGTTTTAATAGGTTGGAAGGATACCCTGATTCTTGTATGAATATTGATCAATTCACCAGAGATAGCCTTCTTTACATGTGACACTGTGAACTATCTGACAATAGGAAACAAACAAACAACACAACCTGAAACGAAACAAAACAATACATGGCATCAAAATGATACGACACACCGTAAGTATAGGCCTGCTTAACATTTGTGTATACATACACACCGATAAGTTAGTATTCTACAGGGGTTTTGTTGACCACGTTTCTTATTTTTGACCTCCACCTGCCATATGTAAACATTTTTTTTTAATGTTTTATTTTTTATTTTTTAAATGAAATTGTTGTTGTCATGTGAAGAGGATTTGATGCAAGCAGGGCAGGTTGTGAGTGTGTATAGAGTAGGTGTAGCTAGCTCATCAGGTCTGAAACCAATCTTTAGATGTTGATGTAAAGCAGATTGTACATGCAGAACTTATGTGCACTCTATCAAATATGACTACTTTGAGATCAGCATTGAGAAACTCTTAGATCATTGAGAAATATGGTGTGTTGTCTTGTAATGTCATTATACTAGTTGAACACGACATTCTCTGTTATCATATTACTATTGAGGTGACCTTTACTACTTGTATGTTTGTCATGTGTGTCATACAGACCCTTATCAGGAAACGTTAATGGAGATGGCATACCTATACCTAAGTTTAATTGAGTACCTAGATGCACATCTGTATTCTGATGTAATGAGTTACATGTCATTTTGAGGCTTGCTTTATTGCCAACGTATCAGTCAAAGATCATTATCCATCCATAAAGTAAGTGGGGGGGGGGGGGGGGGGGGGGGGGGGGAGGGGGGGGGTACTAAATCATCTCAACTTCTCAATATTGACTTTAGTTGTGCAGTAAAGATTTGTTCAGATATGGCGCCGTAAACCGCCACATAAAAGCCGCTGCAGGTTTCTAACATGTTAATGAATGGCGACTGCATACTTCAAAGGACTTACATGTATACAGCGCGCTCTGTGTTATGAGATACAGAAACATGAAAGATATTACACTCTACCTCATCCAAAAACACCTTTTTTCTTGCATCATGTCTAGACGATTCTTAATAGGGCATACAATGCATTTAAGTGTCCTTTTGCTAATGTCACTTCCCAGTCTATGCGCCTGGCGGTTTCCATACTTTTTCAAGTAACATAGTATCTTGATGCAATAGGAATTATATGAAGGGGTTAACTTGGTCATATTAGTGTAGGTTTTTTTTAAAGAATATTTATTCAAGGATTGAATGTCTAACAGATAGTGTGGTACAGTATGTCACTGAAATAGCTCCCGTAGGACTTTTGTGCCAAAGTTGATTTTTGTTTGCATTTTTGGATTTATTGGGGTCCAAGCTATCAGAAATTGATGGGGTTCATATTTTCCTGAAGACACCAAATTTCCCTATTGCGCTTTATATAAGCCATTTTGGCGCCCAATATGGACCCCCAGGAAATGAAGGAGTGGTCTGAAAATTTGAACCCCATCATTTTTGGCCAATTGGGACCCTTTTGAAGCCAAAACAGCAAAAAAATCCTACGGAATTACATAATATACCGCACTAAGAGTGTGTGCAAAGACTTTAAAGAAATGCACTCTTCAGAAATTAGTATCCTGTTGTATTGGTCATTAGTACGATGTTCTTATCATACCACAGCTGGTCATTGCATCTTGCACAACTCAGTAGGTAATGTGTCAAGCCACTGAAGTTGCTTCTCATTTCGTGAAAGTCTTAGCAATCAATCATGTTATGGGCAATTCCACAATTGGTAACGTTACATTTAAGCAAATTTTCATATTTCATTTTACTACTACATCACCATCTATTCATTTCAAGTCACAATCATGTTACAATATGTTCACCCACCCTAGGTCTATAATATAAAAAAGAATGAATACAATTGAACAAATATTAGAGTCGCCATGGTAACTTTTAATGTTGGTTGGTAACGTTACAAAAAAAGGACATGCGAAAAAAATCAGTGTCTTCAGACCAAAAGTTTCCTAAAACGCGAGATACCTCAAACAAAGTGTCGTATTCATTTCAATTCTAGTGTCATGATAAATATTTCAGCCAATAATTTTAGCAGCTTGACTCTTCAATTTTTTATTAGACCCAAAATTCATGGTTGGTAACGTTACCGGTTGGTAACGTTACAGTTTGTCCATGCAGAAATAAGCGTTGTAAAAAGCAAGTGTTAAACCTACTCCTTCCTTAAAATCAAAAGATACACTTTGCAATTACATATAAATTAACATAGTTATCAATGTAACTGTTATTTATAACTCCAACTCACAATTTGAAACAATCCAAACATATTTACAACACTTTTTATCCAAATGTTACATTCTGAAGTTCACCATTTGTCGTGGGATTATGCATGTCAACATACATAATAACTTGATTTCACAAAGTAACTATTTTATTGAGAGAATTTTAACAGAGTTCATGACATCATGACAGAGACATTGAGCAGATATTCAGTCCATAACACAATAGAATGATAATGTGTTGTTTTGTTCCATAATCCAATGCATGTATTTTATGTACAAATGTACTTGATACCATACAAATCTAAAATTTGAAAAGCCCACGGTTATTAACAACTTCTTTAACGAATGTATTTGCCGTCGATTTAGACCTGTACTCCTTCCTTAAAATCAAAAGATACACTTTGGAATTGCATGTAAATTAACATGGTTATCAATGTAAGTGTTATTTATAACTCTTACCCAGACACAACTTGAAACAATCCAAACATATTTACAACACTTTTTATCCAAATGTTAGATTCTGAAGTTCACCATTTGCCATGGGATTATGCATGTCAACATACATGATAACTTGGTTTCACAAAGTAACTATTTTTGTTGAGATAAGTTTAACAGAGTTCAGAATAAAAATGTGCGGTTGTATTCCATAACCCAATGCATGTATTTGATGTAGGGCCTACTTGATACCATACAAATCTAAAATTTGAAATGCCCACGGTTGTTAACAACTTCTGGAGGAGCCAATTTTGTAATCATCTTGCTCTCCATGTAGAAAATGGCATCCTTTTTTGTAGGCCATTTCCAGTACTTTCCCACTGGCTCCATCACTGACACCTGAAACTCACCCTTGCGTGTGAACCCAACAACTTCACCAGGAAATTTCTTTCCTTCGTACTCGACCACATACCAATCTCCCACTACAATGGCCTTACTACCACTTTGGGTAACCACTACATCATCCTTGTCTGCCCTATTGTCTTTTGTGAGAATGTGGGATACCACTTCATCCTTTACGACCTTCAGGAAATGCATCTTTCCGATGCCAGTGATTGGCTTGGCCTGAATGAAAACATCTTTCAATTTGAGCTTCTCATTCCGCTTAGCAATTTCTGTTGACTTGACCTCTGTGACGCATACATTCTCCATGAAGCTTGCTGCTAGAACAAAGCTGCTTGCATCTGCTACAATGTCTTGGCGGCTCAGAACTCTTTGCATCACAAAGCGCTTGGCTGACCCTCCGATCCCATCAACGGGGCCTTTTCCATGGGAGGTCGAAAAGAAGTTCCACTTGATTTGAATCTTGTGAGCCTCTTGAAGTGTGCAGAGTGCTGCTGCCACAAACCGATTTTTGAATTGCGAAGCTGGGCCATCTGACCAGATAGAAATAGATGTTACCGTATCTGGTAGATATCCTAGCAGCACATCAAGGTAGGCTATGATGGTTTCCTTGGAGTGTGTGAGGTCATCAGATGCCAGGATATGAGAATGTAGAGATCCAGAGTACCAGAGTGCTGCAGTGAAGAGGGATACTTGACGTTGATTCCAATGTGCGCTCTGGACTTCATCTTGAGCAACGCATGTAAAATTTTCAGAGAAATCCACCTGGAGGAGGGCACTGTGGGTGTCATGTGATTCAGGAGAAACTTTTTCCCTCTGAGCATTGTATGCTGATGCTTGCTCACGCTTTACATAGCAGTGCTGCAGGAACTGAGGTAAGATGGCAGTGATGTGCTGTACTAGCTCTCCTACAGTTCCCTCCTCTTGAATCTTCATCATCCGTCCATCTTTATCCGTCTCCCACTGAAGCCATGAGCAAGGGCTGTTAAGGGATCCCTCAAAAGAGAAGGCTTTGCTAAATCCTGCTCCATCTTTGCATTCTGCACATTCATTCATCCAGCACTCTCTTGATGGTTGCTTGCAAAGGAGCAAAGCTGGGAGATCACGGGTGTAAGCAGGGAATTCTGGTTGAGCCTTGTGAAGTGCAGTAAAAGCATTAATGGCATTCTCGTGGTACCTGCAGAGACAGACATTATGTGGCAACTTTTGGCTAAGCAGGACATGCTTTGGGCGACACTCTGCAAACTTGGACTTTCCCACATGTACTTCTGGGTAAATCTCACAAAAGAAGGCATATGTCTCTTTAATTGAAGCAGTGAGGTGTCTAGCCTGCATTTTCTTCTTTCCGTCTGCATTCCAAATAGTCACTACATCCTTTCTGCCTGGGGCCTGGCGACTCACATCATCTCTCTCATAGAAGTCTTCGATGACTTTCACTGTATCTTCACTGACTTTAGGAGGACCCGTCTTCCTTTTCTCTGCTGAAGCTGATGGTAGTTCATGTCCTTGCTTAGCTTCTTTCTCATACAACTTGCGAGAGACAACAATTCGCCGTTTAGGAGTGTCGGGGAGTACTCGATCCATTATCCGATGTGCCCTGGCAGTGGCTTTTGCGAGTGCCATCGCACTTTTGAAGGGCCCATGACTTGCTTCTGCTTCTGCTTCTGCCTTTCTTTCTTTCTTCAATTTCCTGTGCTTTGCTACTCGTTTCTTTGTTGCTTCTTTCGTCTCCCTTTCCAGTTGTTTTCTCGCATATTTTGGCAAGGTCCTCTCTCTCAGCTTTTGCTTCTCCCGGCACCTCTTCATGGCTGCTGCTTTTTTCTTCAAGTATTCTTCATACTTCCCCATCCTCTTCATCTTTTCTATGTAGTGCCTTTGTTTCTCTTTCTTCGTAAACTTGGGCATGATGACCTATATATCAAAAAATAATTATAATTTTTTAAAATATTTTTGTACAAACCAAATCTTTAAAAAAAAAAAATAATCAGGATGAACAAAGATTTCCAGATTCGTAATTGGTATTAGAATCCTTCTATTAGTGCGAATCTGGATAAGTGTTGGAAAGTCACCATACAGAAAAATTGATACAATATAACAATTATGAATAAAATCACTTTTTTTTTCTAATTTACAAGAAATCATATAACTTAAAATTCATGATTTCCCATAATATTTAATGTATCCTTTGGAAATTTGAGTAAAGGTCAATTGCCATGTTTTCTCAAAGTGTTAAACAACTGCATTCGGATTAAGATGAAAGTTTCCACGGCAACAAATTAGCCAATGCACATAAAAACAAATACAAAAAAGTTCATTAACCTTCACTTTTTCATTTGCATCTATTCCATCTAGTTGATGTACATGTACATTTGCATGTACATGTAGTTGATACTAAATATTTTATGTACTATCAATTGCCAATGTTGACTTTAAAAAGTGTAGTGTGAACTGTACATACAATGAAGACTGTAGAAAGTAGCCTAGCCTGATCTTAAAGTATTTCAAGAAACATAAATAAAGATTACAGTTACTACAATTGAAAATAAATAAACTTACCAGATGCTGACACTGGGTGACAGTAGATTGAGATTCAACAAGTTTTGCTAATTAGAACTGCTTTCATGGAGAAAGATTCAAGAAGAGTTTTAATACAGTAAAGATGATTTGACTCTTCCCAAATGTGAT